CTCTGGTAGAAGTGTTATTCAGCTGTTTTAATGTTAGGTTGATTGCAGCAACTGCATGACAGTTGACAGAAAACTTTTGACTGACAGTTTTGGGTCTTTTTATGTGATGGTCTGGAATTCTGCAGATATATGTGGTATTGTCAGGTACATATTTCAGAAATATTTTGAATGTATGCTGATTGCTCTTTACTGTGTCTCTTTGTTTCCAAGAACTTCCAAGAGCTGTAGTCAATGAAGCTCATTAACATGGAAAGTTCTCCTGAAACGCTTTTGGGAAAGTGGAATGACTTTTTGAAAGATAATGGTGGAGCAACTTGGAAAGGCACTGAGAAAGAGAACAAGAGTGATTACTTTTCTGTATTTGAGTATGACTAGTAAAAAAGAATTGCTAGCAGACAAAAAGTTTACAGACAGAAATTCAAGATTCTCTTGCATACATCAAACTATACGTAAAAAGTAATTAGGTAGTGAGATAGGAAATGTATAACTATTTTAGACAGAATAAATTAATTTAGAAACTTAGCATAGACTGTCTTTCTGCATGAGTTTGATCTGCAGTTTTTCCTGAGAGCGAGCCTGAATATGGTTATACCAAGAGTGCTGGTAAGGAAGGAAGAAATGCTATGGTGTTTGGGGATGGCCAGCATTAGTGCTCAGAACCTAAAGCAGCTGACCCTTTATATTACTCTCCATAAAGGATTCATGCCCTGAATGTGTCTCTGCTCTGGAAATTGGCAGAAAAGACACAGCTAAAGAGACTCTTGAGAATGCAGAAGTCTGGAACAGAGGAACTCATGAGACATCATGCAGTAGTTTCTGTGTGAATCCACTCAACCTCTTAGAAGTGTAACAGAATAGTAATTTACTATACTTGCTTCCAAAAGACACAGCTTAGCATGAGAATGACTGTCCCTGCCTGTGAGGTTCTCCTAAAATTGACTAAGTCAAGTGGCACTATCCACTCAGAGTTTATAACTTTGTCCTGTGCCAATGTACTATTCCCTGGGAGCTAATCTTTGAATGGTTTGAAAGGGGATGTAGTCCTGACTAGCCACTAGAATTTTAGTCCAGGCTACAGGATTTTCTACAAAACAAATGAAAATGCTACAAGCTTGCACAGACAGTTAATTGTTAGCCAGAGAAAGAAGATGCATCATTTGCTTTGGGTTTTTGGTTGTTCTTTCTGCCTTTGAGAGAACCTCAAAAACAGTGGTATTGACTATGAGGGAGTGAAAACAGACAAGTCAGAACATGCCTATTTGTAGGATATTTTTGATTCCATGAAACTTGCAAGAAATTATATTGCTCTGCAACTGAACTGGATCCATCATAGTACTGTAATTTCCCAAATAATTCTATTACTACTGTCTCAGCGTTGCTGGCTGCATTTGTCTTTCTGAAAATCTGGTGATGAGTTTGTGTGTATGTCTGCTTGTGAACAGTCAAAATATGCATGTGGGGTATGCACATTGTAACAGTGTGAAGGGGCTTCAAAAAGCTCATCTGTGAGAGATAGCCAGTTCTTTTAAATGTTTCCCTAATTTAAAACTATAAATAGTGCAAGAAATAATTATAGTCCTTTGGTGTGGATGAAATTTTAAAATATGTCCAGGGTGTTTCTGTTAATTGTTCCTGAAGACCAAGTTATATTTTTGGAGGGAACCATTGTTCTATAATTCCTGAAAATATTATTGCTTGTGAGCTGTAGAGCAGATGATTTAAAAATTTTAATTGTTACAGTTTTTTATTTTGTTTTTTGTCTGTTACAAAGAGAGGCATTAATAGATTGGTAATGATGGCACTTGAATTAGGAAATGGATTACTACACTAAAGCTTTTTAATCATCACAACAGCAATATTTAAACCATTTTTCAAACAGTAGACTGTAGTTTAAGTGTTGGCATCACTGTTTCATATTCACCTGGTGACTTTAGACAGATCAGTCCAGAGCTATTTTTACAGAGCTCTAAATAAATAAATACATTTTCACTAGCACTGTCCATGGATTTAATTGTAGGTTTTCTTTTTTGGAGAGAATGGAGCTGAAATTGGTCTTAGAAGTGGCACAGCAGGATTTTGCAGCTCTTTGGCTCTGATTGCACCAATACGGTCCTCCTTGGACTGCAACAATAAACCATAAAAAGGAAGCTGGCAATAAAATTTCAGACTTGCTTTGATTTTCTCTCTCCATATTTTCCTAGCATTGTTTTAGAAAGACATAATGCTTTTGGTAGCATCATATAGTTCCAGTATTGTGATTTAAATAAGTATTTGACATGCTAATTAACTAAACACTACACTAGAAGTGCACCATGACTTATGAGTCATCTCTGAGAAGTACTTAATCATGAGAATTTTAACAAGATATAATTTATTTTTTTCCTACATACTTTGTCAAAAGTAACTGTGGTGTTAGGTGAATGAGGCTTTTTGGAAAATCAATCTGTACCTTGCATTTTGTTTTTAAGAGGGATAAGAAAAGATAAGTAGGTCCTAAAAAACAAAAAAAATTATCATTTCACTTATGATGCAACTGCTGATTCTCTTGCATGAGATACTTTTTAGTATACTATTTTGTGTTCGAAAATAAATGCTCAGGGTTTAAATATGAAGTATTAGAATCTAGACACTAACTTCCAAGTTTGGGAGATGTAGATTTTTGAAATGCAGGTTATGAACTCCTGTTATTTACCTAAAATTCTGCATGAATATGGTATCCATATTTGCTTTCCAGAGGATTTTGAGGTGTAGTCCTACACTTTTTGCATCTCTAAGCTGACGCTGCTCTTCATTACATTTCTAAATACATTTTGATATTTGCCTTGAAGGCTGCATGTACAGATGGGAGTTAGAATACATGTCATGCTCCACATTCAGCAAACTTCTGGGGAGAGCAGCTTTTACACAAGAAATAGCTTTGCTGAATTGAGAAGCAAAAGTCCTGCATGTTTACTTCATAAAAGAAGCAGAAATTTTGAATTACTTGTGGTTTTGTTGTTGTTGTTGGGGTGTTATTTTTACGGGTTTGTTTTTTTTTTTCCTTTTGATAGGAAATGACCAGATACAATCAAAGCCTTGCAATAGCTAACCTCCTGTGTGTGATTGCTGTTATGGCAATAACTGTCTTTTGTAATAATAAACTATTTCTCTCAGGGAGCCTTTTTGCGACTTAAGCAATCCTGGGAGAAATTAAGTGTTTCTCCTGGCTGAGGGAGGGTGCCAGGTCCAAACACTTCTCTAACAGTCTTTGGAAACTTTTAAAAAGCCTTTTCCACACTTGAACGTGTGTGGAAAAACAGTTTGTGAGTTTCCCATCACAGCCACATAACTTCCTGAAAGAACCATTAAAAAGTTCGTGTGTGAGCTTAGGGTCCAGGTATGAAAATGAGCACGAAGTTTTGATTGGTAATTCATCCTAGCTAACAAATCATATGGCACTACAAAAAGATCTTTTTTTCTTCGGGTTCGGTAGATTAATTACTGATGTAAAGCATTCCATAATGTGGCTTTGCCAAATTAGAAGTTATCATTCCTAGCTTCTCAATGAATTAATAGAACTTATTTCAAACCCTCATTTTCCTCACTCATGCAAAATATTTAAAGTATGATTCCTTAGACCTTATGGGACAAAACACTAACTATGAGTGGAGATACATTGATTTCAGTATATTAGAATTAGTAATTGTTGACATGGTATTCTTGTGTGTTTGGAAACAAACTAAAATTTCAGGCTTACAAAAAGAAGACTACATTTTTAACAATGAAGCTATTTTCTCCATTCTGTATTGCTTCTGTTGCCCTTAAGATATTGGGGTGAAGAAATAAAGTAAATTCCATCAGCTAAAAATAACAAAGATAACAGAAACACATAAATCAAGTATAAATAATAGCAACAAAAGTGAACTGAGGATTTCAAACAATAGTTTGTCTCTAACAGCAGGAGAGAATAAAAACACAGCAATGAAATATCCTTTCATGGTTTTGAATAATTATTACTCTTGTCTAAGTTAGTTGACTTTTAAATATTGAAAACTTCACACACACATGCATGGCATATTTTTTGAGAATCACACCAATATCTTTATATGTAAATTGAAGTAAATTATAATGCATATTTCAAGTTTTAGAGACTGTCATACTAGGCTGTAACAACAAAATAATTATTTGATCAATTAACAAATTGAGGTGCAAATGGCTGAATATTGTTGTTAGGCTTAATCCTAAGCTGTGATTTTCAGTATTGCAGTGGTTAAAGACAGTTTAGCCTCTGTTTGCTTGTTTATTTTATTCAGGCTTACAATAATAAAGGCGTACCTTAATTATGTTCTAAGAAATACTGTTAAGTTAAAAAGCCTCATGAACATCAAAATATAAGGCTCTTTTAATGAAAAATGTTATGCTTCACAAGACTTTAAAGCTTCATATATAAAGTATTTGTAACACTGATGTCTTTAAGTTGCACTTAGTAAAGCATTAATTGGCATATCCTAATTGAGTAGTTACAAATGTGTTGCTGTGACACTTAAAGTGTTTATATGCTGGGAGTGAACCTGGGTTGTTGTGGTTTGACTTTTTTCTTTTGCCTTTTTTTTTTTTCTTAAACTCATTTTCCAGTGGACTGAATATATTAGTGATGAATGTGCTGTGAAACTAACTGTTTGTTTCCATGCTGGAAAAGTTTCATGGCTCCAGCAATTGCTAGCCATTTTACCACACAGCATCCATCATTTTGTCAAAGTTTTAATGTTTTGTAGTGAACCACCTAGGAAAGAAAGGAGGAGAAAAGAATGACAAAACAGCCCAATTCTTTCATTCCATGCCAAAAAACTGACTGAAGTTTATCCCTGTTTGCCCTTGGAACAATTAATGTGACATTTTCCTGAATGCCATACTAAATTTGATTGTCAGTTATTGAAATGTATGTTTAAATCAGCAGTGATGCAACTCTAAATGCTTTTTTCATTAATGTCATTGAATCCTTAACCCACTACCTTTGACACATAACAGAATTAGAAAGCCTTTTGGACCATTTGGCTGAAGTTGTGCCCTCACTACAGTATCTGAGTTTGCTTGGAAACATTGCTTGCCCAAATGAACTGGTCTGCCAAGAAAAAGATGAAGATGACTACCAGAGATACAGGTTAGTGTTTTCATCTGTAGATGTGATAAGGCATGAAAGTTTTGGTTTACTACTGAAAAATACTAAACTAAAATCAACCCAGAGTCTCAAACAAACATCTAGTCTATTCTGAAAGCATTGTAACATTCTGCCTTGAAGCACCTGGAATTTGAGTAGTCCCCATTTCAGTGAGATCACGCTCAGGAACCCTGTTTCAAGAAACACTTCAGTGCTGTATAGCACAGGCCTGAGTTGAGCAGGTGTGCACAGGATTTCCTGAATCTGAGTATTCATATACCCCTACTCAAGGCATTTCCTTCTTTAAAGCCAATATAAGGAAAGGTTTGCATACACTAAGGGTGACAGGAAATAAAAACTAGGGGAAAAAAAATCACTCCACGGAGATAGCCAGTTGCCTTCTACTCATGTTTGATATGGTGCTAAGTTGCTTCTACTGTAGTTATCAAGGCACTATTAACACAGAATAAATGATTCCTCCTATATTGTGCTGCTTTACTCAGAGCAGTTACATTCTAATAAAAAAAAAACCCCTCAACTGTCTTTATAATATAATGTCAATGAGTTAGATTACACAAGAGGTGATTTGAAATTTAATATGGAGGCTTGATAAAATGCTGAAATGTTGCTAAAAGTTGTAAGGATTATTAAAAAAAACCCAGAAATACTTGTAACTGATGATGGTTATGAGAATAATCCATAACTTATGGAATGTCTGCTGAGTGACATAATTTTCAGAGCTATAACCTTAAGACAGGTGAGACATTGATTATGCAGGAAAAAAAGACATTAGATGTATTTCCTTTCTACCATCTGAGGCATTATTTCAGTCCTTGTGTGCTGGCACTTTTCACCTAGGCTCTGAATGGCATTTGGAGGCAAGTCAGAGCCAAGCAGTGCTGGTCACCCTGCCTTGCAGAGCCTGAGCTTGCTTTTTATCAGGATCACCCACAGTATTTGGAGTTATATAATAAACCCTGATCTTATCTTCAGGTAATCCAAACTGTGCTGTTGGAGTTAGGGTAAAACAGTACAAAGTAGAGGAGACTAAAAGCAGGTTTATTGGGAATTTATGGGCTTGAATTGGATGAATTCTGAAATGTTAAACAGCAGCACAGCTGTCCCAGATGTGCATATATACTTTTTCATTTGTTTCATATTTTTGAGAAGGATTTCTAGGTTGTCTGACTTCCACCTTTTAATGATCCCCCTTTTGAATCCAGCTTAGCTTGTAGCATTTTGGTTTTCATGGAGTAGAGCAGCTAAGGTTTAATAAAATATTTCCCATTGCTTTCACACTTAAGTTGAAGGTATGCCTACTATCCAGCTTACAAGGCCATAATAGTGCTGTCTCTATGTAAATTTATGTGACATGTGCTCTAGAAAATTGCTTAAAAAATGAATGATATTTCTACAGTTTACTGTTTTTCACTTTAAGTATGTTTTCTGACAATATGTCTCCTATTAATCATTTAAGCAAAAGTAGTATATTAAAGGAGCCATTCAGAGGCAAGAACCCGTGGTTCATTTAGTGCTCTCTGAAAAAATTCCTTATTGATTGACATCCTCTGTGGTTATGTGATGTAATATTTATAATATGTCACAGAGCCATACATCAAAACAAGCATGTCCCTTGTTTCATTTCAATGCAAAAATGTTGATTTGGAGAGGTCAAGGTAGTTTTAGGTCACTTCGTGGCAAACCACTATGTCAAAGTGTGAAGGGATTCTATTTATATATCTGCTGGAAACTGCAATATTGCTTCCATTTTCTTTCCTCTCAATTTTTCAGAACCCTGGTTTGTTTTTTTTTTTTCCATATAAACTAGGTTAGTTGAAGCACTTTTAAGAAAGAAGAATGAGCTTCTAATTAGTTGAATGATTTATAGTTCTGCTGCTGTAATGAAAGCTTCCTGATCCTTTTCCGTTATTATTTGTTGCATTATATGAAATGTGTTTGCTAGACAGCATTAGATTCAAAACCCAAAACCATGGATGGATCAATGGATCTATCTGCCTATCTTTAGGAGAATATATATCACCTACATGATGGCACTGATTAGAAATACTCTTTTAATTTTACTCTGAATGGCTAATTCAGAGTTTTCAATGCACGTTCTGAAGCATCTTGATCACAACTTTTGTCTTCCAGTTTATGCATTTTTTAATGGTTTGAAAAAACTTTTTTCCTTAAAAAAGTTCCTTTTCTTTAATTTTGATAAATTTATCAGAAAGCACAAATAGATTACATTTATGTGGCCTTTAATTATGTAAACACTGTGCATCACCATAACTTCAACTGGCTTTGCTTTGTTCTGAATGGGAACTTCTTTTTGTAAATTTTTGCAGTGACCATTGGAAGCAGAGCTTCATTTTTCATTGAGCTTTAATTTTGTTCCTACTGAGTTCAATTAGAGTTCAGGCTATTTAATTCCTCAACCAGAAAGAGAAAGGTGCTAGAAATCAAAGCTTTACTTAATCTTCTCATTCCAACAAAATGAAAAGATCTGTTAACCTCCCAAAATCTTAATGTTAAAAAATGTGAAAAATAATTTTTTGAAAAATTCAAGGTCTAGTGATTCACAGTGATCTTAAAAACAGAGGTTAAAAGTAATATTACTTACTTTAAAAATAATTAGATTTTATCAAAAATACTTCGAAAATATACAAAAGTATGCTTTTGGTCAAGAAATTATGATCTTCAGGTGATTCAGTGATATACATTTCTATAATTTCATTTCTAGAGCTCTTTCCTCATCTTTCATTGAAAGTACATTTTATACTGAAACATTATTGCGGTTTTTTTTTCTTAAAGTGGTTATTTTTTGTCTAAGAACCACGGTAACTTCTGAATGGGATTTTTTTTTTTAGGGAAGAAGGAAAGCTTTTTTTTTTAATTATTTTGCCATCCCTGCTATTCCTTCTTACTTTCAAAGTGTAGGATAACCAATTGATGAGAAAATATCTGTGTTTTTGGAATTTTTGCTTCGATAGAAAAATAAAATTAAAAGTTTCCTTGTGTTATATTTTTATAAGAAAACTTGTTTAGTTCATTTTAAAGATTCATGGCTTTTTACATCACTGTTAAAATTACTTTAGTTTCTTATGATTGTAAAATTCTTTAAGTTCTCTTTATCTTATTTTTAAGCTTTCTGGATTTGGATCTTAATATTTTGCAAAGGTATATCTTGGTGGTAAGAGCAAGAGAAAGCAGAATATCTAATATGTAATGGTGATAGGAAAACTTAAAAGCTTTTGGCTCCAATAGGAAGCAAGAAACACAGAAAAATAGCTTGCAAAACAGTGTCCTCTAAAATAACCTAGTCTCCAATCTCTGCTTTGAAGATTGCATGAAAACAAAGGTCATGACCCAGAGATCAAAGTAACAGAAGTCAACACAGTAATTGCTGGTTGCTTCTGTTGTACTCACAGTTGGTCAGTCCTGTGGGTGCATTGTTTGCAGAGAAAACTTCAAACGTGGTGTTACTGAACTGTGAAAAATCATCTGGGTCACAATGGATTACAAAGCATTCGTGAATGCTGCAGGTGACCTCACCTATTTTCATTAAAGCGATATGATTGTGAAGAATTCATGCCATGTGTGAAGTTTTCAGTGCTTGTTCATTCTTCTTTGCTCCTTATTGACATTTCCTGGAATGATGCATTCATTAAATGCTGTTGACATGGAAACAAGGGCAAGTGGAAACAAATGCCTGAGTTTATTTTAAATTAGCTTAAAAGTACATGTACTAGATATGCTATCTTTGGCTGGGGGAGCAAATGATGATAACCTTATGAAGTCCTCTCAAGATATAACAGCAAGAAAGGAAGTGCATGCATTTTGTATGGATTAACTTTTCAAGCTAAATCAGCTATTCCCATCCCACAGTTTTGATAATGAGAAATGATGGGTCTTTTAGCACTTTCAGTGTTCTTGCAGCTTTCTTTTGTTTTATTGTGGTTTTGTTTTATTTATATTTTAAAATAATTGCTACAGAATTTGCTTGTCTATTTTAAGTAGTCTTGTATTTGGAGAGTGATATAAATATATGTGTTCAATAAGCAGTAGGAAACTAGAAGTCCTCACTTAGTAATGAAAATAATGGTAATATACATGATGAGTATCTGTGAACTTGCTCTTGAGGCTCTCTTTTAGCAGGAGGGATTGAAGTCTGTGCTGTTTCTGTATATGCTCTTTATGCACTTAATTAGATGATTAGGGCATTCCTTTACATCTATAATCTATGAATCTGTGTTAGTTCAGTGTTTGAATGAAGCCTTGTCATCTCAGCAGTACCTGGAAGGAAAAGTCTGTGCTTGAAAGACATCAAATGGCCACACAAGGTCCATCTGACACTAGCCACTGGAAGGGTTCATGAGCAAGAGCCATTACAATGGTTTCTGTTCAGCCAAATAAATTGGAGTCCATAACACCCAGTTTGTCTCTACTAACACAGTAAATCAAGGCAAAACTGTAATTACTGTTATATTACGTATATAGAGAAAGATTTTTCTACTTCATAGAGTGTTTTGCTACACTGAAGAAGAGCAGTGTGTTAAAATATTAGGAGGTGGAGTGGATTTCTGCATGACTTGCAAGCTCCTCAGAATTACCTGGTCATCACCAAACAGTGCCAAGGCAGCTCAGGGTCTTATGTGATCCTGTAACATTCCTCATGCCAGCATCCTGCCCTCTCGTAAGATGCTGGTTTCTGTTTATGACCTGTCTTCCTTGTCTGTGTATTTAACAAATGTTTTTGTTGCAGAGGAAATTCTGTAGCCTATATATAGGCTACATTCTATACATTGTTTGGGGGTGCAGAAGAAACAATCACAGAACATAATCCAGTTCACTGTCATAAACATGTTTGTTCAGTTCTTCTGATTTTTTTTTTTTTTTTTTTTGTCATTCCCCATTTAAATGTTGATCTAACTTAGCCAACTTCAGGTTATTTATTTTTTTTCAGTTTGCAATAATGTAACTGAGAGCATAATCAGCCCTTCAAAACTTGAAATAGGCGTATTATTTTTGTGTTCTATGATTGTTAAGGAAGAAAATATAATAGTACAGAAAATAGAAAAATGAAAGTAAACACTTTCTGCAGCATATTGCAGGTCTGATACAGGTAGAGCTGGATATTTCTGCATTCTTGTGGGCAAATATTTCTCAGTTTTTCACAGCAGATTTTTTTTTATTTTAAACTTAAATATTGATGCATATAGTACAGTTTTATATTCCAGTTTTTGTTAATTATAGTACAAACTGGAATACTATACAGAATCTAGTTCTTACAATGGTCTTTCATTAAAGGTTGAGTGGAAGAGTTTGTAAATGTGCCTCTTTCCCAATATCCTGGCAAGTCTGTATGAAAAGTCTTAAAATGGAGCTTATTGCATGCAGCACATACAAAATTGGTAAATGAATTGTTAATATTTATTGTCATTTTTGCTTAAGTAAGATGGAAATAACATGAAATTTCATATTCTGTGGTCTTTCTCCATATCTGAGTGGTCCTGTTGATATGATGAATACCAAAGTGTTATGAGCTTATTTTCATGGGACTCTTGGCACCCATGCCAAGAGTCAAGGTGAGGGAGATGATTCTGAATAAAAGAAGGTGCAACTTTACTTAAATAAATAATGTCTTTATTCCACTGTGAATTAGATTATCAGTTTACAGACAATAAATATATTTGTAAGTACCTTCCTGGTGTGTCTAATTTTTACTTTCTCTGCTTGAATCTCACCTTTACCCTCATCACTGAAGATAATAACTTTTTTTTCACACCACAACAAAGGTGTTAAAACCCAATAATAGCAGTTTCAGAACAGATGGAGCTGTGCTAAGTTTTAAAATTATTAAGAAAAGAAAAAGGGGGAGTAGGGAGATCCTTCCCCTCAACTTCCAACTTAAATAAACCTTTCTAAACTAAATGTAGAATCTAGATGGGTGTTTCTTCATTAACCAATATGGTTTTAACTAGTGATTTTACAAGTCTGAAACAGGTGCAATGTGTCATGCAATTTATGGGTCCCAGTGCCTGCCATAAAGTATTTTATGATGGCTGTGTTCTGTGTTATTAGTAGCTGTCTTTTTCTGCAGCCATTGGTGTTTGATAATAGTCTTAAAACACCCAAAATTACTTACCTGCAAGCAACATTCCATAGTCCCTGTTGACAGTTTGAATAAGTTTAGTGCCCTTTTGTTGTACTTTACCTTCAAAACAAACTGATTGAACCATCAATAGCTCCTGAAAGCTGACAGAGGCATGTCATCTGCTCTAACCCTCTGATAGTAGGTTATCTGTGGGAGTTAACCTCCCTGCATTGTTAACCGAAATGTTTTATGTACTATGCAACTTTAGGATACTGCTGTGATAACCTTAGTAACTAAGTCATACATCACAGTAAAGAGATTTTGTGCAACAAATAACCCTGGATTAAATTTACAAGGGTTGAATTGATATTGTAGAGTGTTCATTCCCAGGCTTTGATAATCCCTTCCTGTATTTTTTATGGCAAACTTGTGTTACATTTAGATTGAAGCTGCATCTTCATATTTCTAGCTAAAATGTATCCAGGAAGCTTGCTGTTTTTATTCAGCCATTTCATATGGATGTATTGTATTATTTTCAAATAGCATAGATACTTTTTATCCCACACTTGGTAAAAAGAATTTTAATAAATGAGATTGCATTTTGAATCCCCTTTTAAAATTATTAATTGCACATATACTTTCCTTCTACCAGTTCGATAATATTTATGGTACCCACTTTTTAGTATTTGCTCTGCTTAAGGAGTGCAAGTTTGAAAAAAAGAACCAGCCCCAAAACCTAGGACTTGTGGAGTAGTTTGCTGTTTAATTTGTGTGGATAGGGTTTTTTGGTTTTGTTTCTGGAACTGACAAGTACTAGTGCTAATTCTGTTTTTTGAAATGCAGTCAGAATGGCTTAAAAATACAAAAATACATTTGTATCAAGGAATGCTATTATAATTTTAAGCTCTTTTGAAATGATTGAGAGACTGACATTAGGGCTGTGATCCAAAGTCAGCATAGATGACAGTGCTGTCTTATTCTGTTGTCATTTTTGTTGCAGCCTGCTTTTCAATGGCATATTTCATTCCATCATTAAACATTTGCTGATTTTCTAATACCGATGTTTTCTTCACCTGAATATTCATCTTTTCTCACCCTACACTTAGTGGGTGTCTTTACTCATTTTTAGCTTCACTCTTCTTCACTCTTGACATATTGTTTCCTTCTGTACATGTCTTCATTTGAAAGAATCTGTTGTCATCAGAGCTTTTCTGCCAGTAATGCAAGATGGATAGCTTCTCCTCCAGTGAAAGATAAGGACCAGCAAAATGCCAGGGAGGACTGTAAGGGCAGCCAGGAAAGCTGGAATGAGTCTGAGAATGTGTCTGTAGAGAATGGGTCTGTAGCTGTTGTTTAAAAAAATGGTCTTAGGAGATGTTCTGTTTTGTGAAGTGATGCTCTCTGTTTCTTCTGCTGATACAATTGAGAGACAGAATGAGGATTCACATTTAAATTGTCTGAGCATTTCAGAATTGAGTATTGTCAGTTGAGTTGTTAACAATTTATGAAGGTGTTGCTTCAGAGGAATAGTGTACTTGATGGAAAGCTGTATTTGAATCATTACATTTTGCTTGGTTTTAGAAGGGGGAGCATTGCAATAATTTTCACATGTTTATCTGGTTTGACATCAGTAACATAAGATAAATTTTTACCTTTTGAAACAAGTTTTTTGTGGTGTTTTTTTTGTTTGTTTGTTTGTTTGTTTTAATTTTTTTTAATGTTATGCAAAGTTTTCTATTTCTTTAATTTCTTCCTCCCAGTGCCAGAAGGGATTGGTATGATGAGGAGCTCTCTGGCTGACTTGGGGTTTATGCATAGCAGCTAGGCTGAGGAACATTATCATCACCTTTTGACCTCCTGCCAGGAAAAGTCTGATATTTCCCTCACTTTGCAGTGTCTGCTTCACATTTGGTTGACTAAATGCAAATGGTGTCTACTTGGGGTGGTTAGATACTTGGATTTGCCATGGTTGTGCCTTGCTTTGGTTTTGCTCTGCCATGTTCTCTCCCTCCATAGGTGAGAATCCAATAGAATTTTTCTGAGACTAGAAAGCTGCTTTCCTTTGAGTAGAAATGATAAATAGAACATAATACTGATGAATCCTAATAAGAACTTGGAATTCTTAGAATGTATTTCCCATAAATAGTCTCGCCCTGTGTGATTCTGCACTTAATGCTGAGCTGAGATCTGTATGCCATAAGGACACCTTGTCTCTCTGGTGGGACCAAATTGGAATTCTTCTTCCAAATGCTGATCATTGTGTTTTTAGGAAAATAAAATTAAAAAATCCAAAGTGTTGGCAAATTGCAAGAATTCTTACAGAGAGGTTGGCTGGCAATTTCCCATATCTCAGATTGATTTTCTCCCACAGTGTGAATAGGAATCTTTGGTATCACTCAAAATACCTTTTCCCAAACAGGCAATGCAAAATAATTTCCAAATTATTCTGTTCCTTAGTATGCTTTATACCTCACTACTATACAGAGAGAACATGGTGATAATTGTGTTTGATCCACCAGTATTAAATGGTTTTGTCTTCATTTGAAAGACTTAAGTATTATAACTTTGTATGTAAGCTACATTGCATGGAAAAGGTGGATACAGAGAGGAAACAAAGGCTGTTGCTATTTTTGGCTGTTATTTTTTAGTGTTTGAGTCTGTGAGTATGTCTTTGTGCTTTACTAGATTTTAACTGTGTGTATTTTGATATCTGTTAGATATTTTGTCCTGCACAAATTGACAAACCTGAAATTTCTCGATACTCGGAAAGTAACCAGGAGGGAGAGAGAGGAAGCCTTGATAAGAGGTGCCTTCATGAAAGTGGTTAAGCCCAAGGATGCTAAGGTAGGAGGATAAATGAATGTGGTAACAATAATATGATTCATTAACACTGTTTTTAAATAACTCCAAGAGCCTGGCTGCATCTTTTGCTAAGGTAAAAAAAGAGGTGAAACCTTTCAAATGAAAGAACTGATAAATGTGGTCAGATGGGGGACAAAAGCCTTAGTAATTTTTCTGTGTTTTAATATAGAAATTTACAGGTACATATCTAATGGGCTGTGGCCACGTTATCAAATTTCTGGTTTCAACCTCTATTTCACATAGCAAAGTAACTAATATGTGTTACTGAGCTTAAAAGATTACTTTTACCCTGTCCAAGGAAATGTAACAACTGTGTGATATACTTTTGTGAAAGAATGCAATTTTTTCTGACAAGTTGTCCCCTGCCTTCTATGTTAAACTCAAATGTCTATTGCAGAGCTCACACCTATGGTGTTTATTGGCTTTTAGTGAACCAGTTGATTCTAATTTTGTATGATGTTACTTAATGTGGTGTCCTGCTAATAAGCATCGACAGCATCAGAGAGACAGTTTCAGTAATTTGAGCATTTAATACAGCTTCCATCAACTCTGGGCATCCTGCTGAAGCAATCAGAATGTGAATGTGAATTCTCCACTTTGCCTTCTTTTTCCATTGTTGATCAATACTTGATAGCACCAATCTGTGGTGTGCTCAGAGTGCTTTAGTACTGCAGATCTTCCTTAAAACTCTGCTCGAGTTTTCAGTCTACTTGCTTTCTGTTTGCTGCTTTTTCTCTAAAGTATACCGTCAATAATTTATTGCAGATTTCCAATAATGCTGAATAGTAATGTAGTGGTTATGGAAATGCACTGTTTGGTAGCATAACAGTGTTGCTGGATAAATGCATTATCATGAGTACAATTGCAGTGCATTACAAATTAATTCAGACTGATTAATTTATAACTACTAAAATGTTAACAGTTCTGATACAAACATTGCTTTGATATATTGTTTACCACTGCCTTTAGTTATTTCAGCTTCATATATGCAATGAATGGAATAATTTATTTTTAAGCTGTGGTGGAGATCCTATTCACAGCAAACCATCTTTGAATCTGGCCAAACACAACAGCTGAGTTGTGTTAGGTATAGCACATGTATGTCATCTTTTACAAATCTCCTTATCTAATCAGATTTTGGATCTGGTGAAGTTTTTTTTAAATTTGTCTAACATTTAGATCTTTCATTTAGGAGTCTACTCTGTGAATTGCATCCAATTTAAGAGTGTAAGAGAAAAAAAGGTGTCTCAAATTTGAAGTTACTTTTCTGGATTAAACGTCTTTTTAAGTCAATAGCTAAGGGTAAATTACTTAACAAATTTAGAGATAACATCTTTATCTTTTATATCTACAATTGAACCTTTTGTATGGTTTTGAATTATTTACCCACTAAGTCTTATGATAAACCATATATTTATTTCAGAAAATTTGCAGAAGGCTCCAATTTACTGTTGTTATAGCCATACAAAAGAGTTTTTTTCTTCTTTATAAATGGTTCAGTACAAATTACTGATGGCAAAATCATTGTAAATTATTTTTATGGCATGAATTAATGCTTCTTAAGGTGCTACGAAATTACCCTCATCATACAACATTATATACATATCACAGAAGTGGCTAATTTAAAACAAATATTAAATTTGATGCAGGTATAATAAAGTGCTCCAAATTGTTTTGAATTTGTGCTTATTTCCTAGGATATTCATACACATGCATGCAAACTCTTTCCATGTCTGAGAAGACTCATATAATTTTCTCTGCATATATGCTTTGAGATGCAGCTAAGTACGTGTACAGCTATTGACAGCTCTGCTCGAAGACCACAGCAAGCAGCATTCCCCCATAAATCACAGAGATGATGTGCACAACTGTATTTTTGAATTCTGTCATGTGTTGTACATTGCATACATAATGGGTTTTTATTCTCTAGCCTTCACATTTCCGGGATCTTGTGTTCTCTGTTCATCAGTGCCACTCCCACATAGCTGTTGGTATTTTTGACCAGCTTCAGCCACATTTAACAGGCAGGTGCTGGTATTATATTTTAAGCTTTCTGAAACTAGTTAGAGATTCACCTTGATCCAGACTCAGAGGAAGATTGCAACATATCCAGCATTGGTCATCAGAAAACTCCTTAATAAGTTGACATAGTGGTGTACAAGATCTTGATGGTAATGAACTTCCCAATAATGTGGGTTTTTTCCCTTCCACCTAAGGTAGCAGGCACTCTGTCAGCCTATGCATGACAGGAAGGGAGATGCAGTGATTAGTGTTTATGTTGGTGGATGCCACATGAAAATCTTCTGCCAGATTTAGTAACAGCAGTGGGCCTCTCAGACCTGCTTTTTCAAGAAAAAAGGAAAAACAACAAACCAACAAAAAATCCTAACTTATGTGTTGGCTTTTTCCCCCCCATTATGATAAGCAGGAGATGGTGTGGCTTATTCAGCATAAAAGGCAGAGTGATGATCTAAAGAGGCTGTGATGTGGGGAGTTGTTTTCATTTTAGTCTTGACATGAAATACTTTGGAGAGCAAAATACCCCACCAAGAAAAAATACACAGAATGAGAATGAAAGCAAGAAATTTCCATCTGACTAGCTTGTGTTTACTCAAATGTGAAAGTATCTAGCAATCACCAGTCATCACTAAGTCATAAATATTTTATTTTGTATAAATTTTTTTACTTTCATTATTCCCTATGTTTTTTAACAGAACACTACACTTTCTTGTGCTTTGCTTCATTTCATCCTTTGTTGAAAATGCATCTGTTTGTGATATGACTGTCTTATGGAAAGATACAATCATTTATTAGAAAACAGTTTAATGTTACAATGCAGTATTCCTTCTCACTATGTAGGTGAGCTAAACTTCATTTTTCTGTTATGTTTATGTTTTCTTTAGTCAAAATATTGAACATTGTATCATGCCTGCTTTTAATAAAGCCTGGGGAAGTCTGCCTGGATAAGAGGCATTGAGCCAGATGAGGAAGCCTTGTTTAATGACCAGAGCATGACCTCATTTCAGTGGCATAAGTGTAGCTCAAAGTGGAAGATGCCTGTCCAGTGTGAAGTGTGTTTCTGGGCATGACAGCCTTTCACATCAGAAAGACAGCTCAAGAATACGACAGTCAAAATTGCTTAATTGTGTCCCGGCTTTGTAATTATTCATCTGTGCTTCTACAAAGAGTACAGTTGTCATTTCTTGACATAATTATTTAAAACTGTACCCCTCTTTGGTTTATAGGTATATGAATTGTGCTTCCAACAGTTTCATTTTTCAAACTTAGAGATGCAAAGCAAATGTGATTTGAGAAAACATGTTAAGACTGCACATTTTTACATTGCATATAACATAAATAAAATGAAATTATGGTGTATCAAAGTACATAATTTAATATTTTAATGGTCTGTATTCATGATCATTTAATCTAGATGATAAAATGTGGATATATCCATTTAAGTGTGTTGCTATGAATAGATACACACTGTCATACGGCCCTTTAAATATAAATTTAATTATTTAATACAGGGTTAGTCTGCTGGCTTTTATAAAATATATTTCCCTGTATTTCTCAACCCTTCTTCCCCACAAATATTTTTTGACTTATTGCATTTTAGGGTTAACATTTTCATCTGTTTTATTTAGGGTGATGAAAGAAAACAGAAGCATCTATTCACCAGTATCAGTTTTGTAGCTTATAGGGCCAAATCATTGGTGGATATCCTTAGTTATACTTCCAAGTAACAAACTTAATATTAAATGGAGTTATTCTGGTCCCTTGCAGCTTTACCTAAAGCATCTTGTCCACTGGCTGTAAGTGAACTCTGTACAACAAAAAAGGGCAGTATGGGTGTTCTGAATTTTTCAATATTTTTTCACTCTCAGATGCATTATTTTCATCACAAGTTATAGTTATGAAACCTGACATAGCATTTGTTCTCTAAGGAACTAAGATGGAGACACTGAAGCAGAAAGGCAAGTCTAATATCTGCATTCCATGTAATAAATGTCTGTGATTCATGCCCACAGTGTTACTTGAAGGGTAGAAGGAGATCATTTTATTATGATAGAAAGAGTAAATATTTAGGCAGTATCATTTAAGAAATAAGGTGAGATAAAATCTACAGTGCTGCTTTCAGATCATTGGCAGTGTTCTTGTGTTTAGGCTCATAGGAAAAGCTCTTTATCAAAGTGACTGATGCTGATATATGCTTCTATTAAAGTCAGATGAGGCATAAGGAATGATTTTAGTAATTTTTGTCCCAAAATATTTAACAAGAATCATACTTGAATATATTCTACCTGCTTCCATGAATATAGGGAAAACATTTTTGACGATGTATCTCATGGATCTTTTTACCACCTCTCTAAATAAGAAAATTGAGGCTGGTTTTAAAAAGTAAATAAAAGGAGACTTTTGAACAATAACTGCATTGCTCATAATATTTTTTTTTTTACCATTGCCATTATGTAGCAATCTTTGTTTATGAATTTAGAGCATTTGAAGAACATGCAAAGTAAAGGGCTTCTAAAGTGTAAAGAATCATTGTGTCAGTGTCAGCTAGCTCCTAAGATACCTCTGAGAGACCTTCCACATAACAGGGTTTCTTATTGTCAGATGTCAAAATTTCACATACCAAAACAAGGACACAAACTTAAGACTCCAATCTAGACTGTGCCGCAGTAAATAATATTTGCCTCAAGGAAATTGTAGCAGTCATGCAGTCATCCATTTTACTCTTTGGAAAGTTTAGGTATTTTAAGCAGGAGTCCATAACATGTTTGGTTCATAACCTGCTGTAATTCCAGCTGTCAAGAGGGAAGAATAGACACGTGTGGGTCATATGTGTATTAGGATAGGGAGAAAGACTCTTGTTTAGTGTTGGTTGGTTTTTATGTTTATATTTCTTAAAAAACATCCTCACATGTTCTTTGGGTGGGCACTATGTGGACTATGTTTCAGTATCTTAATTGTTATTAAATATACAGAAGGAAAAAGGTGATGTCTCTTTCCTAAAATTATTCCCTTAAAAAAAAATATATGATTGTCATGAAGCCCGTGTCATTTTAGCCATTAATGCTCCCAATGCATTTTCAGACAGGGAGGAGTGTTATTTTCCTGGAGCTCTGGCCTGAATCCAGTTCAGGTGATTACATTCTGCCTCTATGGATTTCTTTACAGTCTCCATCTACTGAGGCATTCTTCTCCACCTTCTGCCCTAACCTGTTCTGTAATGTTACAGTGTGCTAGTTAACCAGCTGCTGCCTTGCACCTGTAAAGTGTCTTTCAGAGTAGTGAGCAAATTGATCCCTCTGTAAGACTTAATATTTGTAAAGCACTCAGAAATTCTGTGATGAATGGCAATAGGCATTGTATATAATTGGTGCCTCCATTTAATTGCAGAAATTATTGTGACAACTTGTTTATTGGTTGTCAATAAACTGGGTTGGGATTTTTTTGATTTGGTTTTTGTTACATTTGAAATTTTTTTGTTATTTTTTTGTTTGTTTTGATTTTGTTGTTGTTGTTTGTTTGTTTTTTTAGTTTGAATTTGTGGGTTCATATATAAGGAAGTTTCAATAATTAGGTACTGACTTTTGTATTGTCTACTCAGTCTGTTTAATAAAATGCCATTCAGCAGAATGTAACACCATGATATCAGAGAGTAAGATCACGAATGTCTTAGATCTTAATGGATCAATATGGCTAGAGTTTTATTTTATAAGGACTTTGTTGTTGTTGTTTTTCTTTTGGAAATAGTAGCACTGCTGGAGTACTACTGCTACTACAAGAGGCAGAGCTTC